AATGAGGACATTATAGTACTCCAGGATGATTTGAATAGACTGATGCAATAGTCAGAGAAGTGGCAGATGCAGTTTAATATAGACAAATGCAAAGTTCTAAATGTTGGAAAGGATAATAACCCTGCCACATACCAACTAAATAATGTAGATCTTAATATTACAGATTGCGAAAAGGATTTAGGAGTTCTGGTTAGCAGTAACCTGAAACCAGGACAACAATGCATAAGCATTGGCAATAAAGCTAACAGAATCCTTGGCTTCAAATCAAGAAGCATAGATAATAGAAATCCTCAGGTTGTTCTTCGACTATATATATCCTTGGTTAGGCCTCATTTGGATTATGCTGCACAGTTTTGGTGACTGTATTACAGAATGGATATAAATGCACTGGAAAACGTACAGAGGAGAATGACAAAGTTGATCCCATGTATCAGAAGTCTTCCCTATGAGGATAGGCTGAGGGCCCTGAATCTGCACTTCCTAGAAAGGCATAGAATTAGGGGGGTTATGATTGAGGTGTATAAATGGAAAATAGGAATGAATAAAGGGGATTTAAATAGTGTGTTAAAAATATCTAGCCTAGACAGGACTTGCAGCAGTGGTTTTAAGCTGGAAAAACTCAGATTCAGGAAGGATATAGGAAAGCACTGGTTTGGTAATAGAGTTGTGGATAATTGGAACCAACTCGCAAGTACTGTTATAGAGGCTAAGATGTTGTGTGGTTTTAAAAATAGGTTAGATAAATACATGAGTGGGTGTGGGCGAGTGTGAGTTGGTTCTGACTAGCTGGTGCTACTGGGTCAAATGCCGGGCTCCTTCCTTAACCCTTAAACTGTCCAAACATAGATCAAAGTTTTTTCAACATTTGAAAGTATGTAAAAAAAAGTAGATCTTTTTCAAATGTAAAAAAAAACTTTGATCTACTTTTTTGTTTTTTGTTATATTTGAAAATAAGTAAAAAAAAGGAGGGAGGTTGGAGGGAGGGGGTAAAGGAGGTTTTGTGTGTGAGGGGCTTGGACTTTCAGCAGGCATCCGTGAGCGTGTTTGATAGGAGTGAATGGAGACAAATGGTTTTTAATACTTGACGTGCTGTTGGAGTGTGAGCAAAGTAACATTTATGAAGGGATTCAGGGAAACCGGCAGGCCGGACTTGAGTCCTGGAGATGGGAAGTACAGTGCCTGCACTCTGAAGGAGGGGTGTTAATGTTGCTGTTTAAAAACTGTAGTGTAAAGCACCCTTCTGGCAAGACAGTGATGGAGCGAATGATGGTGAAAGTTTTTCTTTTTTCGGGCCACCCTGCCTTGGTGGGAATCGGCCAGTGTGTTAATAAAAAAAAAACGTAAAAAAAAATATAGATCTACTTTTGGAGCACTACGCATGTGAACGTAGATCTGCTTGGACAGTTTAAGGGTTAAATGGAGGTGACCTGACTTGGTGGGGCCATTGTTCTAAGCCGGGGGTTGACATGGACCTGCCCCACATGGGCCAGTGGGCCTGTTGCAGTGTTCTTAAGAGTGTGGCGTCGAGAGTGTGGCAATTGAGCGTAAGCTGCTGTGCCTATCTTCAGCGGCTTCCAAGTTCTGTACTTTTCTCCAACAACCAGAGCCACCAATGCTCCTATGATGACCTAGTTGCAAGCAAAACTGCACTACACAACGTAGCACCCAGAATGACCAAAGATTACCAACAGTGAAACCTACTAATCGAATACCATAGAGATCTATGGAAGACTGCCCTCAAACCCAAAGCAACACCCCGCTGCCAGCCGAAAAATGTAACCCTAAGCTTTGTATAACTACAGCTTCTTCGTAGCTACAACAACTCCTACGACTCCTGTATTACTATGAGGCGTAATCTCAGAGGAAACTGCACCAAAGTCAGCAAGAAAATAGCGAAAAATTGACTATTCAACAAGTCTACCCAGGGCGACACCGGCTCACCTACCACTCCTCTGGCCACCACCCAGGGCAACTCAACAACAACAACAACAACAACAAACATGGCTGCCTCCACCTCAACCACCTCTTCCTTCTCCGGTTTCAGCCTACCAAGTAGTCTCTCAAGTATGACCAACGATCCAGATGCCCTTAAGTCATACATCTCCACCTTAGTTATTGAAAATATGAATATTCGAGAGACGCTAACAAAACAACACAACAGGATGTCACAGCTTGAGAACAAAATCCTGAGTCTTGAACAAAAGTTAACACCAGGAATGACTAACTTTGGCAAGACCCTCCAAACAGTCATAGATAGCCATACAGAACAAATAATCTCTTAATACAAAGGTTGAGGAAGCGGTAAAAGAATGGAAGAACAACTTGGATGACCAGTTCAGTGACTACTTTGCACTCCAAGAAGATAAAACTGAGCAAGAAAAACTATCGGACACTAATAGTTAACAGTCCACTTTTCCCAGTGATATGAACCAAACAGTAAAGAAATTACTCTCAGGATCATAGAGGACCAAACAAGATTCACTGTATCAGAGTCAGAAATAAAGGAAGCCAGGTTACTAGGATCCTATGGTAGAAAGTGTTATGTGCTTAGATTCCACTCACATGACAGGAAAATAGACTTAATTATTGCATCTATTAACCCTTTGACTGTCGCAAGCCCCTTTCTGAAACTGTCATTCTATGTTCGCAAAATTTTTTGGGAAAAAAAAAAAAAATTTTATGAAATGATAGAGAATCTTTTCCCAATGGTAATGACACCAAAAGCACGAAATTTAGTCGAAATCTCACAGAATGACTCTCCCGCGAAGTTAGTGGTCTCGGTGATATATGTATATACATCGGTGATTTCGCCTACTTTGAGCCCTGTTTTTGACCAATTCTGTTGTTCCAGTTGCCAAACTCAGCTATTTCTTTAGAACTCCATTTTTCTGTCAGTTAAGTACAAGAAACCGCCCATTTACCAATTTGAACTACCCAATAAAGTGGTCAGAAATTGGCAATTTGGCCAATTTCACGCAAATTAAAAAAGATGCCAATTTCAAAACCGGGTCCAGAGTAAACACTGTAGACATTCTTGGCACTAAAATAACATATCCTCTATTCATTAGTCACGTCTCTAGACCCCTCTTATATTACTATTGCTTTTATTTTGATTTTTTATGCATACAAAATTTACTGTTATGCAGACTAATGCATTAATGTAAAAATGGTATAAGTAATATCAGTGCACTAGTGAAAGAATATTAGACTCCCCAGTTGATGTGTATTGGACGTGTGGTGTGATTTGCTTACTCCTGAACATTGGTAAAAATCGAACATTTCCGCTACTTCGAGCTCAATTTCAAGGTTGTTTTCATCATGAAACTAATCAAAATCATCTCTATTTCTGTAATATGTTTTCCATTTTATCACGTGAGACCATGAAAACGAAAATACACTGATAAATACTATACGAAAATACATACACCTCAGTCGGCGTTTTAATCCAAAAAAACGGTCGGTTTTTTCTTCTCATTTGCACTGCGTGCTGCAGGATTTTTTTTTGTGGTGCACACTGACCACATAGACCCATTCTCTCACATGTGGGTCTACCAGCTTTCTCCTACTTGATTTGAAGCCGCTAGAATTTATGCGCATTAATACGTCCAAAACAGCGGCGTGTAAGACGTATATATACGACCAAAACAGTCAAAGGGTTAAAAGTAAAGAAAGAGGTATACATAAACAAGTGTCTCGCCAAAAAAAGTACCAATCCCTCCAGGACCTTCCAAATGTATATTATCATGTATCTCTCACCTGCGTTCGAGGGAATACAGATCAAAGACCTTCAACCGTTCCCAGCAGCAGCTTTTCCTCAGCAAAATTTAGCGAGTTGCCTATTCTATTGCTGCTCCTTTTGCATTACTTCATTGCTCTTTTAACCTCCCTTTTCCTGTCAATATACTATGCTTTCAGGCAGTCATTTTTACATTGTAAAAACCCAGTCATATGTTAATTTTTCTCCCTTACATCCCTCTTTACCTCATCACTCCACTAATCTCTCCTCACCTACACCCACCCTTCTAAATACCCACTAACCTGCTTCACACACTAGCAATGTAATCTTAAATTTATCTCATACCTTCTCAACCTCCTTATTTCTTTAATTTTCCCAAGATCACCTTTTTCCCAGTACAGTAGTGTCCCCATATCTGCAGGGAATACATTCCAAGATGTGCCTTGGATAGTAACAAACCCTTATATTTTTTTTTTTCAACAAGTCGGCCATCTCCCACCGAGGCAGGGTGACCCAAAAAGAAAGAAAAAGTCCCCAAAAAGAAAATACTTTCATCATCAGTCAACACTTTCACCTCACTCACACATAATCACTGTCTTTGCAGAGGTGTCCAGATACAAAAGTTTAGAAGCATATATGAAGATATATAACATACCCCTCCAAACTGCCAATATCCCAAACCCCTCCTTTAAAGTGCAGACATTGTACTTCCCATTTCCAGTACTCAAATCTGGCTATATATGTGTAATTTTTCATTTATGTACTTACTTATGATAAGGTTTATTTGATAAATTACTCCCAATTAGTTGAGAATTTGCACTTTTTCACTGATGGGAAACACTTCATGGCTTCTCAGGCTTTGAAGAACTTTCAGCATTGCTATTGCACTTTGAGGGGTTATTTTCAGGCCACATTAAACTGTGGGTAACTGAAACAGTGGAAACCAAATCCATGGATATGGGGGTTCTACTGTAGTTGCTTATATCTTTGCAAAACTGTTTTCTTCTTAATTTGTTTTCATACTCCTGCCTACTGTTGCTAGTCGCCTTGCGTGGCATCTACTCCTTACTCTTATTGCAGCTGTCAATAAATAATGATCAGACAAACCTGTCACTCTAATAATGTGTACATCCAGAAGTCTAAACGTTACCCACTTGTCTTCTAATACATAATCTATCAAAATGCTCTCATTGCCTCCTACATCATCACATGTATTAATTTTTTTTTTTAATGAGCTTGATAATTTTAAACATTTGTATTTCAGATGTTATGCAGAAAGTTGCAGTAAACACTGGAAGTGAAGTATACCTGACTCATGTTGAAGGCAATGGAATAGTTTGGCTTCAGTGCAAAGTAGACTCTGATGTCGTATTAGAAATAGAAGAAAAAATTAAAACACTCTTGGTTAAAAGCAAGGTTTGTGAGTTAAAATTTTTTTTGTATATATTTTGTAGGATCGTCCAAGAATTTGAAATGTGAATTTTGATTGATAAACATTTCACCATGGGGAAGTGGAAAAGAATTCTTCCTCTGTAAGGCATGCATGTCATATAAGGCGACTATAATGTCTGGAGCAAGTGGCTAATAACCTCTTCTTTTGTATGAGTTATTAGATGTAAAGAGAAAGGCTTTTGTTTTTCTTTTTGGGTCGCCCTGTCTTGGTGGGTTACGGCTGGTTTGTTGAAAAAAAGTCACCCTAATAACTTTATGGGTGTGAGGATGGATGGTGGATGTTGCAGTAAGGAGAAGGCTAGAGGCAGTGGAGACGTCATGTCTGAAGGCAATGTGTGGTGTGAATATAATGCAGAGAATCCGTGGTTTGGAGATTAGTAGGAGGTGCAGGATTACCAAAACTATTATCCAGAGGGCTGAGGAGGTGTTATTGAGACAGTTTAGACATGTAGAGAGGATGGAACAAAATAGAATGAATTAGTGTATAAATCTTTAGTGGAGGGAGGGTGGGGTAGGGGTCGGCCTAGGAAAAATTAGAGGGAAGGGGTAAAGGAGGTTTTGTGTGCAAGGGGCTTGGACTTCCAGCAGTCATGCATGAGCGTGTTAAATAGGAGCAATTGGAGACAAATGGTTTTTAGGACTTGACGTGCTGTTGGAGTGTAAGCAAGGTAACATTTATGAAGGGATTCAGGGAAACGGCAGGCTGGACTTGATTCACAGAGAAAGGAAGTACAGTGCCAGCTCTCTGAAGGAGGGGCATTAATGTTGCAGTTTTACAACTGTAGTGTAAGCATGCCTTTGACAAGACAGGGATGGAGTGAATGATGAGTTTTTCTTTTCCAGGCCACATGAAATTCAGTGGTCTTGGTGGGAAACGACTGATGTGTTAAAAAAAAATAATACAGTGGACCCCCGCCTTACGAATGCATCGCATTACGTTAAATCCGCTATACAAAGCATTTGAACGCAAACATTTTGCCTCGTCTCACGATAAAAAACTCGCCTTACGTGATTCATCCGGGATGTGTCCCACGTATGGTCTCAGCTGCCCCGTGGGTGCCAGTGTTTACAAGCCAGCCAGTGCGGTCGCATCTAAGCATACATTTGGTACATATCTTATTATCAGTGTTTTTAGTGCTTGTAACTGCAAAATAAGTCACCATGGGCCCCAAGAAAGCTTCTAGTGCCAACCCTGTGGTAAAAAGGGGTGAAAATTACTATAGAAATGAAGAAAGAGATAATTGTTAAGTACAAAAGTGGAGTGTGTGTCTCGGAGCTGGCCAGGTTGTATAACAAACCCCAATCAACCATCGCTATTATCTTGGCCAACAAAAGGGCAATCAAGGAAACTGTTCTTGCAAAAGGTGCAAGTTGATTTTCGAAACAGAGATCGCAAGTGATAGAAGATGTTGAGAGACTGTTATTGGTGTGGATAAATGAAAAACAGATAGCAGGAGATAGCATCTCTCAAGCGATCATATGTGAAAAGGTTAGGAAGTTGCATGACGATTTAATTAGAAAAATGCCTGCAACTAGTGGTGATGTGAGTGAATTTAAGGCCAGCAAAGGTTGGTTTGAGAGATTTAACAATCGTTGTGGCATACATAGTGTGATAAGGCATGGTGAGGCTGCAAGTTAGGACCAAAAAGCGGCTGAAAAATATGTGCAGGAATTCAAGGATTACATAGACAATGAAGAATTGAAACCTGAACAAGTGTTTAATTGCGAAGAAACAGGCCTGTCTTGGAAGAAAATGCCAAGCAGGACCTATATTACTCAAGAGGAAAAGGCATTCCCAGGACATAATCCTATGAAAGACAGGCTTACTCTTTTGATGTGTGCTAATGATAGTGGTGATTGCAAAGTGAAGCCTTTATTGGTGTATCACTCTGAAACTCCCAGAGTGTTCAGGCAAAACAATGTCCTCAAGGCTAATTTGTGTGTGATGTGGAGGGCAAACAGTAAGGCATGGGTCAGTAGGGACATTTTCTATGACTGGTTACACCATGCATTTGCCCCCACTGAAAAATTATACCTAATGGAAAAGAAATTGGACCTTAAGTGCCTCGTGGCATTAGACAATGCTCCTGGTCATCCTTCAGACTTGGCAGAGCGACTTTCTGGGAACATGAGCTTCATTAAGGTCAAGATTTTGCCTCCTAATACCACTCCTCTCCTGCAGCCCGTGGACCAGTAGGTCGTTTCAAACTTCAAAAAACTCTACACAAAAGCTATGTTTCAAAAGTGCTTTGAAGTGACCTCAGACACTCGATTGACTCTAAGAGAATTTTGGAAAGATCACTTTAGTATCCTCAGTTGCATAAACCTTATAGGTAAGGCTTGGGAGGGAGTGACTAAGAGGACCTTGAACTCTGCTTGGAAGAAATTGTGGCCACAATGTGTAGAAGAAAGGGATTTTGAAGGGTTTGGGGCTAACCTTGAGAAGCATATGCCAGTTGTGGAATCCATTGTGGCATTGGGGAAGTTCTTGGGGTTGGAGGTTGGTGGGAAGGATGTGGAAGAGTTGGTGGAGGAGGACTATGAAGAACTAACCACTGATGAGCTGCAAGATCATCTTCAACAGCAAGAGGCCAGACCTGAAGAAACTGCTTCAGAGGAGGGGATAGAGAAATTGAGGAAGTTGCCTACTTAACCCTTTCGGGGTTTCGGCCGTACTAGTACGGCTTACGTGCAGGGGTTTTTGACGTACTAGTACGCATAAATTCTACCGCCGTCAAATCTAGTGAGAGAAAGCTGGTAGGCCTATATATGAAAGAATGGGTCTATGTGGTCAGTGTGCTCAGTATTAAAAAATCCTGCAGCACACAGTGTGTAATGAAAAAAAAAAAGGGACCGTGTTTTTGGATTAGAACAGCGACATTGCACTGTACAGTGGACCCCCGCATAGCGAACTTAATCCGTGCAAGAGGGCTGGTCGTTATGCGAAATGTTCGCTATGCGAATTAATTTTCCCCATAAGAAATAATGGAAATAAAATTAATCCGTGCAAGACACCCAAAAGTATGAAAAAAAAATTTTTTTACCACAAAAAAATGTTAATTTTAGTACACACAAACTGAAAAAGGCATGCACAATTACATGACACTTACTTTTATTGAAGATTGGTGTGATTGATGGGATGGGAGGAGGGGAGGAGAGTGTTGTGTTTAGAAGGGGAACCCCCTTTCCTTTAACATTGAGGAGGCAAGTCCTTTTCCCGGGGGTTTCTTCCCTTTTTCTTTTAAAGCATAGGACCAGCTTCAGAGTCAGGACTTTTTCTGTCCCTAGAGCTCTGTACCCCCCGTTTCCTTTTCGATTTGTCTAAATGGGGCCCTAAAATTTTCTTTAAAAAGTCACCCGCACGCCCTTTCAACGTGTGTCAGGGGTTTTATCCATAAGGTTTGCAGTTTCAACCCCTGTGCACACTTTCTTAATTTTTGAAGTAGGGGACAATGGATTCCACAATGGCATAGGCTTCTCAGGGTTAGCCCCAAACCCTTCAAATCTTTCTTAATTTCCCTACTAATTTCACCCCTTTTTTCCCCGGGGTTTGGGACTAGAAAACTTCTTGGGGCCCTGGTCCCCTTATTTTCAACAAAAAGAACCGAAAAAAACGTATAATACGAAAAAATTCCCAGTGTTGCTTGAATGTTACCCCGGGAGGCTAGCTGGTAAAAATGGGCGGGCGGCACATGTGAGGTGGCTGAGGGCCCCCTTGGCGCGTTGGACGAAGTTCGTGAGCGGGTTTTTGTTATTGCGGGGCAAAATTTTTTGCGATCAAAAAGGTTGCCCTTTCGGAATGTTCGTAGCAAGGCATTCGCTTGCGGGGGTCCACTGTATTTTCGTATGGTATTTATTGTTGTTACCTAGTTTTCCTGGTCTCAGTTTATAGAATGGAAGACATATTACATAAATTGAAATGATTTTGACTGATTTTACAATGAAAAGTACCTTGAAATTGAGCTCAAAGTGGCAGAAATGTTCGATTTTTACCAAAGATCAAAAGTAAACAAATCATGCCAAGCGTCCAATACACGTCATCTGGTGAGTCTAATATTCTTTCACAAGTGTGCTGATATTATTTATACCATTTCTACACTAATGCAGTAGTCTGCATAACAGTAAATCTTCTAGTTTTTTGTGAGAATAAAAATTCAAAGTGGAAAGCAAAAGAATGTAAGAGGGGCGTGGGAACGTGACTAATGAACAGAGGAAATGTTATTGTAATGCCAGGAATGTCTTTGTTTATTCTGGATTCTATTTGGAAATTGGCATCTTTTGAAATTTGTGTGAAATTGGCAAAATTGCTAAATTCTGACCACTGTATTGGATAGTTGAAATCGGTAAATGGGTGGTTTCTTGTAATCATTCGATAGAAAAAAAATGGAGTTCTAGCGAAATAGTTATGATTTTTGTCGACTAGTACACTGGAATTGGCTGAAAATAGGGCTCAAAGTGGGCAAAATCGCCGATGCGTAAACATCGTCGAGACTGCTTACTTCGTGAGAGCATATTTCCGTAAGTTTTCCATCAAATTTCATACTTTTGGTGTCATTATGATCAGGAAAAGATTCTCTAATTCATTATTTTTTTTTTTTTTTTTTTTTTTTTTTTTTTTTTTTTTTTTTTTTTTTTTTTTTTAATTTGGCCGACCTTGAGAACAAGTCTCTGAGAGGACCTGCCGACCCCCAAAGGGTTAAAGATTAAGGAAATGTGCGCAAAGTGGGTTGAACTGCAAACCTTTGTGAATGAAAATCACCCTGACACAGCTACTGTAAGCCGTGTTGGCAACCTTTACAATGACAATGTTATGGACCATTTAAGGAAAGTCTTAAAGGAACGGGAGGTACAGAGCTCTATGGACTGATTTGTTGTGCGACAGAGGTTCAGTGACTCTCAAGCTGGTCCTAGTGGCATTAAAAGAAGGGAAGTAACCCCAGAAAAGGACTTGCTACCTCAAGTCC